TCCTGAAACAGCATAGTAGAAATTGACAAAGTAATGAAATTTATGGAAATTAAATAAACGGATTTTAAGAAATTAAGTCTAGTGGTAAGGGAACTGGACAAGTGGCTAATGTAATCTAGAAGTGAAGAAATCCTGAACAGAATAGTGGCAATGAGAATGGAAGTGAATGAGTAAATTAAAGATGTTTCAAAAGGGAAAATTATAGAACATCATGATGAGTTGGGTAAAAGGGTGGTGTCAAAAATGATATATTTTCTGTACTAGACAATCACGGTATCACTGAAAGTGGACAGTTTAGAGAAGCTGGTTTGAGAAGCAAAGATGCTGAGTCCCATTTTTGTAATGCTGAATTTAAGATGATGTTTAGGCATTTTGTTTGAAATGCTTTAATTAAAGCCTGCTGAATATATCGGCCTGGGATTCTATGTAAAAGTCAATCTGAAGAGGTAAATTTGTCAGTATCCACAAAAAGCAGGTAAGGTTAGGCAAGCTAACTGAAACTCTATTGTGGTCAATAGATCCCTTTTAAAAATAAATATATAAACAATTTAACGTAAATAAATTACTTGATTAGGTATGTAATTTAAAGTAAGCATTTCCAAAATTAAATGAAAACTTTCCCCTTTTCCTCAAAGTGTTAGTGCCTATAAGAAAATCCCTACTTTTGTATCATTTATGAAGATCAGTGACTAAAATGTGTTACTATTCTTGAATCTTAATCTCTATTTCCATTAATAAAACAAAGATCTCTCCCAGTATTAAACTGAAATAATGAAATTGGGAATTTCAAGTCCAAATAATTCACTCAGTTAAAACTTTGTAAAATTGATGTGGCTTTAATTTCTCAAGTGGAGAGGCAAGTAACTGAATTGTGGGAAATGTACTGGTCTCCAGTTTCAAGAAACAGTGTAGTACAAAGACCTGGCATTCTGGCTGAAGAGTTGTAATAATAAACAAATTTGAAAATCAGGAAGATAAGTTTTTCAAGAGTGCAACTGTGGCATTTCAAAAGAGGTATAACGAGAAAGAGGTATATTCTGGAAGCCGGCCAAAATTTGTTTAGATAATTGAGGTTCCTTAATTTAGATACTTGCTTTTGATGGAGAAACACAGTGAGGAGGAAATGAAGAAGGTTCTAAGAGGTCTGAAACTTTCTCCTTCTCATCCTAAATTGGATTTGCTTCTGAAGAAAACTTAGGCCCCCCCACCCCCCACCCCCACCCCCACCCCACCCCCCCGCGCAAAAAAAAAAAAAATCAAGTAGCAATTTGATACTGCTTAAATTGTAGGCAGTTAAAAAAGTCACCAAAGCAGCCCTGGCTGGTGTAGCTCAGTGGATTAGGCATGGGCTCTGAATCAAAGGATCACTGGTTAAATTCCTAGTCAGGGCACATGCCTGGGTTGTGGGCCAGGTCCCCAGTGGGAGCTATGTGAGAGGCAACCACACACTGATGTTGCTCTCCCTCTTTCTCTCTGCCTTCCACTTTCTCTAAAAAATAAATATTAGCCCTGGCTGGTGTAGCTCAGTGGATTGAGCACGGGCCTGCGAACCAGACAATCGCAGTTCGATTCCCATAAATATTAGCCCTGGCTGGTGTAGCTCAGTGGATTGAGCACGGGCCTGCGAACCAGACAATCGCAGTTCGATTCCCAGTCAGGGCACATGCCTGGGTTGCAGGCCGGTTCCCTTCCCAGCAGGGGACGCACTAGAGGCAACCATACATGGATGTTTCTCTCCCTCTCTCCTTCCCTTCCCCTCTAAAGATAAATAAATAAAATCTAAAAAAAAACCTTTAAAAAAGTGGCCAAGGTAAAATACACTTTTTAAAAATTATTTAAAAGCAAATATTTTGGTTTTCCAGGAGCTAAACATTGTTTTGTAGGATTCCTATTTAGAAATTCAAGCTGCATGTCATTAGACAGAAATACTATATTATTCTATATCTTTAATTGATTTTTAATATGTACTATTTTAGTGATATGTAAGGAAACCTAAAATGTTAATCTGTGCTTCCAAAGAGCATTTTAAAAACTCAGTAATATGTCTTCTGGATATATCAGGATCTTTGAAACCAGTTCATCTCAATATTTGAACCATTTGATTAATCCAAGTTCAGTGAACCTACGACTTCAAATCAGGTTATCCAGAAATGGGAACATTTTTTTCCCTGTATTTCCATTCTACTTACATGTAACATACATGCCTGATCCATTGATTTCTACTATCTTTTCAGAACTAAATTATGGAAGTAAGTCAAGATTTAGTATTGATTATAGTCATGTAACATTCATTCTGAACTTGTATTCCTTTAATATTTCTTTAATTACTAAGCAGTCTTATAGCACTGCATTTTTATTAGCAAATTATATATATTCCAATTTTGGCTGTGCTGTTTTACTGATTAAATGTATAATTTTGTGTAACTTAAAATTAGTTAATATTTCTATATACATCTATATTTTCATCTCATTTTATAATCACCCAATTAAATACTAGAAAAATACTATGGTATTACTGTAGTGTTTAACTTAAATCAGTCTTTCAGACTTTACATAAAGAATTGTCATCCATCTGTGAATTTACTGTAATTCTTGTTTTACTAAGTGCTTGTTCACTGAAACTGTAGCATTCCCAATTTTTTAGTTCAGTTCAGTTTGGACTATTGGATGTCTAGCACTGTGTGGGGGGGGGGAATATGAAGACCAATGTAAAGCACAGTCCCAGCCCTCAACTTAGAAGAACTTGTAGAATCTGCAGCCAGACTTTCTTGGAGTCTCTTATTACAAGAAGGGTAAGACAAACCTGTCCGATTTGGCCTCCAACCTGGTAACTCAGAGAAATTCCAATTCTTACTAGACTATGAAATGATAGCAAGTAACATGAAATAGAAACACTTGGTATTTGGTGAGTTTTACTCACTGATAGAGTAAGAGTAAAAAGCCACTTTAAAACAATGATTTCTGGATTTGAGGTACTGATATGAAATCTGAAGGTGCAGAATGCTGCCATCCTAAAAGCTCTCTATGGTTAGACAAGTTCTACATACATTTTTGCTTTGATTGCAAATTCCTATTTATTTTGCTGTATATTGTTGCTTTTTCAATCCATGCCATGCTTACTACTCATTTGCCATTCACCATCTAAGATATAAGCTTTTTATCCATTTAAAGACATTTATGGTTGGATCTATCTCATAATTTACATGAATGTTAAAACATTTTCTAGGCTTCATTATGAGATGATGAACTTTTTATACATTTGTACATAACTTTTTATCTCTAGTGAGTCCAGTGGAAGGCCTAATAATTTTTAAGTTGTAGCTCTGTGGCAAAGTTGGTAGTGATGTTTTGTTTATAACACTAAGTTATATGTCACATTGTTCTTTCATGGCTTCTTTGGCTCCAGGTAGGTAATAAAATTTCCTGAATTTCTTTTTACAAATTTCCCCTGGTGGCTTCTATATTGCTAAACATACTGTTACAGAGTCAACTTCCTTAAACAGGAAAAATAACAATAGAATGTGGGAGATTTAGAGTGCTTTTAACAAATCTTTTATCCTAGCAGGTCTCTGGTAATTGACCATTTCTATTATTTATGACAGATAAGGAATATAAAAACTTACAGAGCAAAGCTGAGGTTTGCCAGATGTAAACAGTATAAAAGACACTGGAAACTTCTCAAACTGCTTTCATTTGACCATTTTATATCACTTTGGGCTCTTGATTTCAGATATATTTTCAAAGCAGTCCAAATTAATTCTGATTTATCATAACCTAAGAACCCTTTCTAATTATGACTTATATATTAAATCAAAGGGTAAAATTCAACACTAGAGCTCCTTTCCAGAAAATCTTTGTAGGGAGAACTTTCAATTGCTTATAAGGTAAATTATTGAGGTTCAATAATAAGCTAAAATCTTTTAGTCTTACCAGAAATGAAACTGTGGGTGATAGAAGCTAAAAAACAAACAGAAGAGAAGTGGGAGAATATTCGTGGTTTGTCAGTTAAGACTGACAAGCATTAACATCTCATTGTAATGATTCATACTTCTGTATATGAGATGGATTGACAGGTGTATATGATTTGATGAACAAAGTTTTCATCGTATTTGGCCAAGACAAGCTTCTGCCATTATTTTCTTATAACTGAAACTAAAATTCACAAATCATTTCATCAAGAAGTGGTACCCATTTGGAAATATTAGTCTTTTTATCCATAAAGCAGGCAAGAGTTTTTAATTTGCCTACGGTACATCTAACATCCCTGTTTTCTTCAAACTATTATATATTTAACTGCCTCCCTTTCTTAAACAAGACTCAGTTTTTTGCATGTCTTCACATCCCAGAGCCCAACTCTGTTTTGGAGTGAACACCAGAGGTTTACTAAGATGATCTTGACATGTGTCTCCAGTTGAGATGATCTTTAAAATATTTACTAAAATAAGAAACTCAATCCACTCTGAAAGTAACCTTTCCCTATAATGAATTTTTAATGCTCACCCCAGAATATTGATTTTAGAGAAAGAGGAAGGAGGAGAGAGAGATGGAGAGAAATACATTGATCAGTTGTCTCCTGTGCATACCCCCTGTGGAAACTGAACCCACAACCTAGGCTCCAACTGAGCCACCCAGCCAGGGTTATACTAAATTATTTTTTAAGTGTGGCAGTCTGTCTCCTATAAATTTCTACATTGTGAACTCACAACTTTTAGGCACTAATAAAAGGCTTAAATTAATTTAATTTAAACCCATTGTCAATGTTATGAATTGTATTTGTAGTAAGCTCTAGAAGGGAAGGAACTGTTTTGTTCCTTGCAGTATCTCCAATGACCCGATAGTATCTGGCTCACAGCAGATGTTAATAAGTATTTATGAAATGAATGAATGTTATGTATATGTTTCCATAGGTAACGTGTTTCTATTAGTACATTAAAGGGAGCATTTCTCATCAAACTAGTTTTCTATAAATGTGAATGATAAAGAGCATATCAGTAGCAGGTTTTTTAAAATTTTATTTAGTTATTTTTCAAGTACAGTTTTTTGTCTATTTCTCCCATCCCAGCCCAGCAGTTTAAACAATCCCTGTTACAATATTTTTTTTCGATATCTTTAACCAGTTACCAGTTTTTAATAATCTTATCAGCAAAGCGTTACAGGGAATTAAACAGTGTTACATACAAAACCATGCCAACTATACCCTACTAGTCAAATTACATACATGCCAAAAATTTAGCAGAATAGAAATAGTGTACCTTATAATATGATGCTAGCAAGGCAATGCCCATACCAAACACATCACCCCCAAAACTGAGATGACACATTAAAATAACTAAGTTGGCTTTTCTGCAGAAAAGAAAAGTGCCACCAAAAACAAAACACCCATAAAACTTATTTTCTTATTCAGATCATTATTTTCAATTGCTAACCTTAGCATTACTAATCTTAAAGTATTCAGCACTTTTATGTACTTTGAGTTCTAATGTACTTTAAGTTAATATATTTTGAATACTAATGGTCTTTGAATTATGTACTTTGAGTACTGATGAACATTGAGTTTATTTCTAATTTCTTGCTGTTATGATTTATGTTCTCAGCTGAATGTGAGCTCCTTGAGAATAAGGATTGCTTTTTCACTCATTTTTTTTAATCCTGAAAACTTAGTATACTGCTCAACAAATGTTTAAGAGATGTTTTTTAATGAATTAATTGTACTTTTCAAAATGGTGTTCAAATGCTTCAACTCAATGGTTTGCTTTTTTTTAACCCTTCTAAGTACAAAGTATTTGGTGCTCTTTGACTTAATGAGCACCTTCCTCTATCTTGTTTAAAATGACACATATATAAGAATTCCTACAAGAGGAAACACTAAGTCAAAGTATATGTATAGTTTAAATGTTAGTTATTCAAAAGCTTTTCACCAATTGTAAGTACTAATTAATAACAAAGATATTATTCCTCTCACTATATATTTAGCACAGTGCTTAACATATAGTAATGTTAACACCATTGAGTAGATTGAGCTCATATTCAAGAAAAATTTATTTTATAATAGTATATAAGTCTATACAAAATAAAGGGCTCTATCTTCTTTGTCAACATCACTAATTGTTACTGAGTACCAATCATATGCCAGAAAATGTGTTGAGTATATTATCTCCTTTGACCCTCATACATCCTATAAGACATATATTTATCCCCATTTGATAGATGAAGAATTTGAGGCACAAATAGGTTCAACGGCTTGCCCAAGTCATAGAGCTAGTAAGTGATTAATTTGGGATTAGAAATCAATCAGCATGATCCCAGAGCCTATTTTCGAAAGCTGTGTAGTGTTCATGAAAAAGAGAAGTGTAAAGCAGCACTGAAGGTAGAAGGAATATGTGCCAAAGCACCAAGTGCACAGTCTTGTTCAGAAAGCAGCAAGCAGTTACAGTGGGTTAGGCAATATTGAGGTGTGGTTACCTACAAATAGCATGGTAGAAGACAAGGCCAAAAATTTAGGCTGAGTACATATTTGACTAACATGTGTGCCTTCATCATGGAATCTCCATACAAGAAAATGGTAATTTCCCTTTATTCTAAAAGAGAGCAAAAAAAAAAACCTCATTTCTTTTTCTGAGATTGTTCTGGCATGACAGAGCCTCTAGTTTCACTCTTTTGTTCATGGCCAGATATTCAGGCCTTTTCATCCTTTCAAAGCCATAGCATTTGGTTTTTTCTTCAGAGGATACTGTTCTAGGGGTGACCAGATGAAAGCCTTCCATTAATAAAGTGTCAATTAGTAAGCTGAGGACATCTGTTCCATTGGCCAATTTTCGGTTGTCAGGTTTTATAGAAACATACCTAGGACACACACACAGAAAAATGTTGTATTATAAGCATCCCTTTAATGACTATAAAAGTAAACATAAATTTGAATTATAACCTCACATAACGGTATCGTACCATTCTGATCAGTTTTTTTGAGACTTCATTTATAAATCCAAATCAGTAATTTCAAAGTAAATGAAAACATATATCTTGCAGTGATTTCCAAAGTCATTTTAATTCTACATTTAGGAATATAACTAATATTGATGAATTTTCATTTATAAACTATTTTCTAGAGCAGTAAGGTCAAATTTATTAAATATTGTTTTAATTAAATTTATTCAATCATTTTAATGAACATTTAATACATATACAACTTTCCCTCCTGATCTAACTCACCCCTTATTGGCACTGACATTACACACTTTTTTTGTGTGATTTACTCATATCAAATGCATTTTCTTCAGGTAAATCTTACAGATATAAAATATCACAAAGAATTGTCAGTTTTTACTCAATGACTGTCTAATGTTGAAAAGCAAAATATGGGGTCAAAAGGCCTCTGGAGTTGAAATGACAAAACTTTCTATTTCCTGGGAAACTCGATAGAGCCAACCCACATAATTCAACAAAAATGTATCTTAACTTTTCAGATTGGTTATATGTTGGCTTTAATAATGTCAATATAATGTATTCACATACATATAGCTGTACTGCTCTTTATTTACCATCAAGGATAGTTTTATGTCTTTGTAAGCCTTGGGGATATCTCAAGCCTCCTTAAATTATGATTGAAATACAGTGGTTTATTGTAGCTCACATTTTGAAGTTCATTATAGAGAAAGAAAATTCAATAATAAAATATAAGAATTACAAAACTGCAAAGTACATATCTGTTGGGAACTGCCCTGCCTTGTTCCAGGAGCTGTAACCCTCCCATGGCTAAGGCTGAGTGAGCAACCTTTGTACTGTAAGCCACTAAGGAGACAAAGCTTATGTCCCTGGGAGGAGCACTGCTTCTGCTCCTTTTACCTCATCCATAACTGCTTGATTGATTAGCCAATGACAGGTAAGATTCCCCAAGCAGGGAATGGCCTAAGACAGGCACAATCACATGGAGGCCCCAGGGAAGGACTTGGGGAGCTATGGAGAAAGGGGGTGATGGACCCCTCACCCCTCAGCTTTGTCATAGCCTAAATCCTCAATCTGTCTGCAAGAAGTCTCCTAATTTCTTGGCTGCCTTACTTCCCCTGCCTGACTTAAGCCTGAAACAATGACAGAGGGTAGTGTAGCCCTGTACTGGAAAAGGTGGGTTCCCCAGGTGATCAGGCCTGAGAAAGAATATGTAAAATCCTGCGAAACCTGACTTGCTAAGAATGCTCTCAATTAAATGATAAAGATCCGAGCAGGAAATGAGTTTGTTTCCCAAAGTCTTGTAGCCCTTTAGCTAATAGACCCTGACTCAGAATAGGCCCTAGTAGTTCTTTGTATGCTATTGTTTGATCCTTACTACCTGACAATGATTAATTAACTTTACCTGTATTCCTGTGCAAATTGAAACCCAATAAAAGCCTGTCGAGGCAAGGGTCAAGGCGCACTCCCCTTGAGAGAGTAGCTGTCCCTTTTCCTTCACAGGACTCGGTAGTCCGTGTGAATGTATCTTATCTCATCCATAACACTGCGGATACTGTGTGCCAGTGTCTGTGTCACATATCAAAAAATGTTTATTATGTCTGATATACCAAATTTTAAACCTTAATAAATAATTCCATCTACTCCCAAGTCCTAGATCTTGATTGTATAGCCTAGAAACATTTTTTGAAGTGAAAAAGAGTTATAGAACTTCTCAAAAAATTAAGATACAAACAGTAATATAATAGATTATAATGAAGTGGAATGCACTTTGCAAGAAATCACTGAGCCAAAGTCCTTAATTCTCTATGAGACCAAATTGAGAAATGACATTTCGAGGCACCAGAAAAGGATAGAAGGAGTCAATGAGAAACAGAAAATCAAAACATATTTTAAAAACTTAAAAGGCAACTATACTTTTCCACTTGACCCAGTTTAAAAAGGAAAAGTGAGATAGACTAAATGTTACCAGAATTCTATGGCCTAGAATCCTGTGACCATAACTTGATCTTGATAATGTTACCACATCTACAAGGTACAAGTCAAGTATTTCTAGCACTGTGAACTTGAGAGGTAATTACTGAGCAACCTACCAGGTTAACAAGACCTTCAAGTAGTAAATCACATTGTGGAACATACTGAACACCTGGATAACACATCAAACTCCTAGAAGCAATTCAGGCTTACTCTTCCACTTTCCACCTTCAAAAAACATCTGAATAGAAAGACTTAGGCCAGGGAGTGAGCAAGAAATAAACAAGATTGCTATCTGGCAATCATCTAGGGTGAGTTTTCTTTTTTTTTAATATTTATTTATTTATTTTTAGAGGGGAAGGGAAGGAGAGGGGGAAACATCAATGTATGGTTGCCTCTAGTGCATCCCCTGCTGGGAACTGGCTTGCAACCCAGGCATGTGCCCTGACTAGGAATTGAACTACGATCCTCTGGTTCTCAGACCTGTGCTCAATCCACTGAGCTACACCAGCCAGGGCTTTAAGGTGGGTTTTCTAAAGCTAGAGGTTTTATCCAGTTACCTGAAATTCCACTAATGTCACCTTATTCAGGTTATGTCTCTACTTTGAAATTGACACTATACCAAAAAAAATCAAATACTATTTGGAGATTAAATGATTTTTAATTTTAAAAATAACTTCTGGTCCTGGGATTATCTATTTTGGAAGTTTAAATACCATTCTGACGTCCAGCCAAGATGATAGTATAGGCAGACACACTTTGCCTCCTTACACGACCAAAAGAAGGACAACAGCAAATTTAAAAACAAAAAATAACCAGAACTGCCGGAAAAATAGAACAGTATAGAAATCCAACAACCAAGGAGTTAAAGAAAAAACATTCATCCACACTACCAGGAGGGGCAAAGAGGACTCACTGCAACAAAGTGGGTAGCAGACCAGGCAAGGCAGTGGCTGACGGAGTGAGCAGTTCCATGTTTGTGTGCAGATAACCCAGGGGGAACAATTGGGGAGTGAGACAGACCACACAACCTAGGCTTTCTACACAGGGAAATAAAGCCTCAAAACCTCTGACTGAGAAAACCTATGGGGGTTGAGGCAGCAGGAGAAACTTCCAGACTCACAGGAGACTTTGTTGGAGAGACCCATAGGGTCCTAGAACACACATAAACCAACCCACCCACATATCAGGACCAGAAGGGCCCAGTTTGCTTGTGGGAAGTAGAGGAAGTGATTGAAAGCCACGCAAGAGCTGAGCAAGTGGCATTGTTCCCTCTTGGAGCAGTCCCTCACATACAGTACCACAACCCAGCAATGTAGGTTGCCCTGCCCTGGTGAATACCTAAGGCTCTGCTCCTTACTACAAAAGAGGACTGCCGCCATAAAAAAGTATGGCCCAAATGAAAGAGCAGATTAAAGCTCCAGAAAAAATACAATTAAGCCAAGCTACCAGATGCACAGTTCAAAACACTGGTAAACAGGATGCTCACAAAAATGGTTAAGTATGGTTGAAAAATAGAGGAAAAAATGAAGGCTATGAAAAGTGAAATAAAGGAAAATGAACAGGCAACCAACTGTGAAGCAAATAAAACCAGGCCTCAAATCTCAAATCAACAGTTTTAACCAGAAGGAACAAATAAACATTCAACCAGAGCAAAATGAAAAAACAAGAATTAAAAAAAAGAGAGAGGAGACACTTAGGAACCTCCAGGACAACTTTAAATGTTTCAGTATTCAAAATGATAATGATGCCAGCTGGAGGAGAAGAGTAAGAAATTGAAAATTTATTTGAACAAATAATGAAGGAGAATTTCCCTAATCTGGCATCAACTTCCAAAGTTGGACCCAAGGAAGCACACACCAAGGCACATCATAATTATATTACCCAAGATTAGAGATAAGGAGAGAATCTTAAAAGCAGCAAGAGAAAACAAGACAGTTACCTACAAAAGAGTGCCCATAAGACTGTCAGCTGATTTCTCAAAAGAAACCCTGCAGGCAAGAAGTGGCTGGAAAGAAGTACTCAAAGTCATGAAAGGCAAAGACCTACATCCAAGGTTACTCTATCCAGCAAAGCTATCATTTAGAATGGAAGGGCAGATGAAGTGCTTCCCAGATAAGGTCAAGTTAAAGGAGTTCATCAACACCAAGCCCTCACTGTGTGAAATATTAAAGGGACTTTTCTAAGAAAAAGGAAAAAGAAGGTAAAAAAAAGAACCGTAAATTTACAACAAACTCACAACTATCAACAACCAAACCTAAATAAACAAAAACAGAAACAAACTAAGTGAACAACTAGAGTAAGAACAGATTCTCAGAAATAGAGATCACATGGAGGGTTATCAGCAGCAAGGGGGTAGGGGGGTGAATGGGGTGGAAGGTACAGCCCTTCTTATGCTAATAAGCATAAGTGGTAGGTACAAAATAGATAGGGGGAGGTTAAGTACAGTATGGGAAATGGAGAAGCCAAAGAACTTATATGTATGACCCATGGACATGAACTAAGGTGGGAGAATGAAGGAGGGAGGTAGTGTACAGGTTGGAGGGGAATAAAGGGTAGAAAAACTGGGAAAACTGCAATAGCATAATCAATAAAATATATTTTTAAAAATGAAATTAAAAATACCACTCTCACACTTAGGTGAAAAAAATTTTGTACTATTTTTAAAGCACACTTTAATAACAAAGGGGAAACAACTTGGTTATGTGTATATGCAAGAATATACTAACCTAAGATTCTAATGTTGTTTTGCAATATTACAATTATTTTCTCAAAATACATAGCTTCTAAAGAGCTTTAGTACTTACAGAATATCCTTTTTATCATCTTAAAATGTTTCTTCTTAAAATCATTAACACCATTTTTCCTTAGATTTCCTTAGGATCCCTTTGTCAAAAGAAATCCCCAAATATTTCAATCACTCAAATTTTTTTTTATTTTAAAGATTTTATTTATTTATCTTTAGAGGGGAAGGGAAGGAGAGAGGGAGAGAAATATTATTGTATGTTTACCTCTCGTGGGTCCCCTGCTGGGAACTGGCCTACAACCCAGGCATGTGCCCTGACTGGGAATTGAACCGTGATCATGTGGTTTGCAGGCCCGTGCTCAATCCACTGAGCTACACCAGCCAGGCCTCAATCACTCAAATTTTAAAAAACAAAATACTGGTTATTTACCTTCTATTTTTTGAGTTGGCAAAAAAGCTGTATAGTTGTTTTCCATTAAATAAAAGACACAGCCCTGGCTGGTATGGCTCAGTGTTGGGAACTGCTCTGCCTGGTTTCAGGAGTTGTAACTACCCCCCAGGGCTAAGGCTGAGTGAGCAACCTCCTGAATGCGAGCCACTTAAGAGACAAAGCTTGTCTCTGGTAGCAATGGCTGCTTCTGCTTCCTCCCTTGACCCCAGTGCATGGTCAGATACTCCATGACAGGTAAGACCCCTTAGAGGGGGGGCAACCTAAGCCAGACATGACCACCTGGGAGGCCATCATGGAAGGACTCGGGGGGGCTGCAACAAAGAAAGAGTGATGGACCCTTGTTCCCCAGCTATTCTGACATAGCCCGAGGCCCCATGTCCTCTGGGAGAAGTGCTTCCTGGCTCTAATCCACTTAAGCCTGAAAACCTACGATGGAGGAGACGGTGCAGCCCCTTGCCAGCTAGAGTAGGAACCAGGGTGATTGGGCATAAGAAAGAGTTCCTAAAAGTCCTGTGAAAACTGCTTTGCTAAGAGTGCTTTCATTCATATGTTAAGGGTTCGAGCAGGAAATGAGTATGTCTCCCAAAATCTCTGCAACCCCCTTTCCTGACAGACACTGACTCAGACTAAGCCCTGAAATTTTTGAAATATTATCTACTGTTTCATCCTTGCCACCTGTATTCCTGTGTATTACAACACAATAAAAGCCATTGAGGAAGGGGCTTTTGGCCTTCTCCTCTGATAGATTGGCCACCTCTTCTCCTTCCCAAGCAGATTATGTCTTGGTAGTGTTACTTTCATCTCTGGTGGACAGGGGAACTTGCTGGCAAAGTTGCCCCCATAGCTCAGTGGATTGAAAACCAGCCTGCAAATCAAAAGGTCATCAATTTGATTCCCAGTCAAACATATGCCGGGGTTGTGGTCTAAGTGCCCAACTGGAGGCATGCAAGAGGCAACTGACTGATGTTTCTCCCCCTTTCCGTCTCCCTCTCATTTCTTCTCTCTAAAGTAAATAAATAAAATCTTTAAATAAAGCAAGTAGAAATCCAAGATGGTAGAGGAGTATT